GACATTTCATATCTGTGAGATGTGCATATGTAGCTTGCGTTGATTACTTATAATCTAATGAATAACAACTTTTTTCAGTAGGTCTAGTTCTCTTTGATAGAACAATAAAATATTATATTGTTACTTGAGGAAATGACAAAAAAACAAAAAAAAAAGGTTTTGTTATTTGACAAAGAATATAATACTTTTCCAACATGTTAATTTATATTTTGTTATACAGGGTGATGTAAACAGTGCTTGGAAACATGATATGTTTGATGGTGTAAAAAAGGTTGGTCGTGGTGCAATAGGCAGTGCAGGAACGACCAAACTTTTAGTATCAAATCTTGATTTTGGTGTATCAGATTCAGACATACAGGTATTCGAATATTGTATGTAAAATAATTTTTTAACAATAGTGAACATGTTGAGCATCACATAATTTGTAATGAAATTACATCGTGAATTCATTTTCCTTTTTGAATTATCTATAAGGATTTCTTATAACGTTTGTAAGTAGTAATATATCCAATAATAGAAATACTTAGTCCTGATTAAGTTAGTGTATTATAAAATTAAACAGTTGGCCAATATAGATAGAACAAATTTAATTTATTGATAAACTGTCATATGGTACTGAATATAAAAATACATATAACCTACTGGATATATTAACATGCAAATTCTCAAAAATGGAGATAAATGTTTTTGACTGTGTAACCCTCAATATGTTAAATTTTTTGTAGATTTAATTTTAAAAAGAACACTTTTATAAAGAAAGTTCTATAGAGAAAAAAGTAATTATAATGATAATTATAAATATCTTTTAGGAATTATTCAGTGAATTTGGACCTTTAAAATCAGCAGCAGTACATTATGATAGATCAGGTCGATCTCTAGGCTCTGCTGATGTCATATTTGAAAGACGAGCAGATGCTATTAAAGCAATGAAACAGTATCACGGAGTTCCATTAGATGGTATGTATTTTCATTTGATTGTATTTATTTGTGTATGTATTTTTTCAATTGTAGAATTTTGCTTATATTTAGGTAGTATTATTTATTAATCCAGTGTTCAGAAAGCTTGTGCTAAAAAAATTTGTGGATTATGATTCGTATATACAGACATTTTGCATCTGTCATTTCAATAAATAATTATGTCGACAGGACGTGAAATGAATATACAAGTAGCTACTTCTGAACTACCAATTACTTCTGTTCGTGGCCCGAGACTTAGCGGTGTTAATTATACACAAAGACCTCAAACACGTTTTAGAGGAAGTCGCGGCACAGGATCTATTAGAGGTAACTCATTAATGCAATTTAATATATATTATTCTAAATTGATTTATGCAAATTAAAAAATAACAAAATTAACAGTATCGAATACACAGTTATATATTTTTTCTACGAGTTGTGATCGTGTTACATGAAAGTATTTAGCAATTTTTTATTAGTTCCTATAAAATATTATAATTTTATGGAATTTAAGGTCGTGGAAGTGGAGGTCGACGTGGAGGTAGAGGAGGCACTCGACAAACGACAAAGACACCTACGGCCGAAGAATTAGATGCAGAACTGGAAGCTTATGTGAAGGAAGTCAAGTAACAACGTTATAAAATTGCTACATTCAAATTTTGTTCAATGTGACTAACACAATACACATTGTTGCTATTTCTTTCATGAAATATACAATTATAAATCTAATCCTATACGAATTTAGTAAAGTTATACAAAAATCAACTTAGTTTTTATTTTTGACGATTCTTTCAAAAATTGGCACAGCAAATTTTACAAAATCTTTGCGAACATTGTAGAAGTTCATAGATTTTTTTCATAATATAGTGATGCAAGAAAATTAAGAAAGAACATACTTACATGAATTGTAAAGACTATGAATTTGTATGTACTACCGTGCGTGTGTGCTCACCAGATGAAAAATACAATGAGATACATCTCGAAAAGTTGTTGTTTATCAAAGTACAGAATGTGCTTCTAGCCCTCACAATCTGATTATTCCAAATGCTATGTCAAATATCAGAAATTGATTTACAAAATCCATCTTTAGGATAATTTACTTAGGAATCTTAGAATACATAAATGTCTTAACACTTTTATGTAATTATGTGTCCGGAATTTCTTTAACTTAAACGTAAGCATTATATCTATATATGTGTAGTATATAATTAATAGTGAATTAAGGCTGTGACGTACTGTTAACTAGTCAAATATTGACGATATTTAGTGCACAGTGATGGATATGTAAGACCATGTATACATTTTTGATCATGCAGCGTACAAATAGCAGTCAAACTAATAAGTGGCGCAAGACTGAAGAAAAACTATCACCAGAGATTCTCTTTTAATAAAATATTTTTAAAAGAAAACTTTTATTATCCATCAAAGAAGAAAAATTCCTAATAATTTTAGTCCTTTCACCCCATATTTGATCCTGTATCTTTTTTCTTTATAAAATATCTAAAAACACATATTGTGAAATGTGTTAAAAAAATACAGATATATTAAAATGTACAAGATGGTAGAAGGAAAGGAGGTAGAGGTGTATGTACAAAGAAAGAGATATGCAATCATTGGGGATATACATTTATCAAAATTGACTCAAAAAATGCTATACACATAGGAGACATTTTCTTTATTTTACTTAAGTAATCACAAGTATATTATTCTGTACATATGTAAAAATATTTGCTAATAGATAGTATAGAACAGATTTCTAATTCAGGCTATGATTGTACAGATTACTACAGAACACTAATCTTCTAGGGAAGGTGGGAGATCAATTTTTGTTTCTATTATCTTTTTCTTATTTTTAATGTATCTAGACATATTAAATTCTCTACATACTTAATAATAAGATCAGTCAAGTTTAGATAATAAAATTTTACTATGCAATAATAATTGTATACAATACGAGGCAACATTATCATACTAGTATTTTAAATTACAAAAGACAGAAGAAATAATATTAATTTTTTTTATAGTCTCTTCAGCGTCCTCTTCTTATCTTTTAACATTTTTTTCTTTTCCGCTGTTAGTTTCTTATCACTTGCGTGCTTTTTTGGAAGAGGTCCTCCAGTATCCGAAGAGGCGCAACTTTCCAGGCCCGCCTTGCTTCCTTTTCCACCTCCCTGAAGAAATAAAAGTTTCATAAAAATAAAAATTATTATAATGATAAAATTGCAAAAAAAAAACTCATTTGTCGAAATAAGACATTACTTGTGCATGTATCTCAGTCATCATTTTTGCTCGCTCTGAATATTCGTCATGACTTTCTAAAAGCAATTTGCCAGCTTCCTCATTCAAAGCAGATTCTGGATTTGGCACTATTAGTAGACATTTTACAGTCTAAAAAATATAAAAAAAGAAACATAAGAATACATAAGCAAGCATTTACAACACATTGCGCTTTAGTGATCACTTACTAATAATATATGTTGTATCCCAAGATCTGGTTTCCAATCCTTTTTTAAAGTGTTGACACATATTTCGCCATTTTTTGCTACATTAGGGTGAAAAATTTTTGTAAGAAAGTAAGCCTTTGGCGGTCCCTGTGGAAAGTCCTTTCCAAGAACTAATTTCACTCTAAAGAAACCACTGGCGTATGGAGTCCCCGCTATTAGAAAAAAATATATAGATATCAATAAATATGCTATATTATTGTTTTTAAACCTTAACTATTATCATCGAATCTTTTGTCATACTAATTCTGTAGTTGATTCTGACAAGCATTGAAAAATTCTTATTCATTCAAGCAGTTATTTTTATTGTATTTTTATTATATTTTGTTGCAGTGTTGTTAAATGGATACGTTTTATGAACATAATAGAATAAAAAGCGATACATTTTCACTTATGCTTGTTTCTTACAAATGTAGATCAACTTTAATCTCAGTTCACAACTTACTTTTCATCTTTTTCTAATCTTTAGAACTAGAAAAATATAAGGAGCAAGTTAAATGGAGATTAAATTAAATCGGTATTAATAAAAATATACATTAAACCTTTATTTATCATATTATTGTTTTGCATAAAATCAGTGATATATATTTTAGAAAATATTTCTAATTTCTATATATATCTATTTAATTCTAATCATCACATTGTGCCTATCACTGTGAAAACACGACGACAATGATAACAATCAAGGATGAAAAACTCATGTGAGAGGAGCTGTACGCTCTCGACACAGATGAGTGATATACACGGATATGCCGAGATAAAAGGTGTTGAGGGTTAGGACGACGACCAGGTTAGGTTAGGTTAGGTAATGTATAGTCGATAAAAGTATGCTTTGCTCGGAGATAATCAGTTTTGTCAACGAGGCCAAAAGAGCGAGGAAGCGAGGAGGCTATCAATGTTACCTGGGCCTTCGATGACGGCTTGTATGTCGGTGACATCGGCCTCGTTCAAAATGACACGAATACCTTCAGGTGTTTGCGCGGCCAGCTCTGCCATCTCCTTGGCTACCCGGCGGATGATTTGTGGCGACAGATTTTCCACATTCTGCAAAAACGCACGTACCAATTTTACACGTGTTTTAGCGAGGACACGATTGAAACGCGCAGAATGTAAACACGAAAGCGGTTCTCGCTATATACAGTCGCGGTAGCGGCTAGTGGCCGCGGCGACGGGGCACCGCGGCGAACGAATGTCGAATTGTACGTTCTCGCGATAGCCGATCAGCGGAAGATTACTATTACTCACGGAGCTCACGGCGGCAGCAGCCATAATCGCCGTAAATTCGGAGCGTGATCTCGCCCAGGCCTCGCGCGCAGGCTACGCGATTCTCTCAGCTTCCCGGCGCACGGCGTAGGAAAACACTTAACGTCACAACATCAGCACGACATCGCCTGCAATAACCAACATTTTGAACTGACAGCCAATCGCGTGCCAGGGTACTCTCGATACCAGAAGTCGATCCTTCCTCCCCCTCGCCGATCATTGCGCCGTCGTCGTCGTCGCCGTCACCGCCAACGCCGCCGCCGCCGCCGTACGACCTGTCCTCCGGCTTGATTTGTGCATGTTTTTTTTTAACTTGAAAGCGCGAACGATTCGCCAGCATCGCCGAACGAACTGATTCTAGGCTATTTTTCGTCGCGACTGCAGACTGTGGCTCAGGATGACGATACGTAGTGGATAAATACGTAGTACGGAATCGCCAGTGGAACGAGACCATCTTCTGTGTTGCTGTTGATTGACTCCTACGCGTGTCGTACATCTTCCCCTCCAGATCCCCGCCGCTATAAAGTGAATTAAAACGCCGCGTTTATCACAAATTTCTACGCGATGACGGACGACGGGACGGTCGAAAAGGTGAGTACGACTCGATTCTGTCGAATTGTGAATTGGTGACTTGGAATCAGCTAGGAAATACGTTTTTGTGAATTGACACGCGCTTCTGTAGCCTGGTAAAAAATCAATGACGGAGCGAGACGCGATCTCGTTGACTGATAATGCGATATTATCGTAGGAAAAACACATGAAGCAATTGAAGCGAAAGATGGAATGCTGGCGGGAGATAATCCTGCCTTTAAATTCCATTCTCTTGTGGGAACGCAGCTGGCATCCTGGATTAATTGTCGGGCTTGTAACAGTGATATTTTGGTAAATGAACCAATCTCATAAGAATGAAAATTGTTTTTAAGGTGGATATGTTTGTGTGTATATAGATTTGTTTGCGTTGTATGTAATTTTTGTGTATTTAGCAGCTTTGCTTCCTCTTTTTTTCATTACTCAAGTATATGTTCATCTCGTTTCAAGTATAATGTAAACTTTTGGAGATTTCAAGCAATGAAAACAAACTTTATGTAAGAAAAGTCTGAATAATTGGACGTGTACCTATGTCTATACCAGGGTTGATAAAGATTAATGTTTTTTTTTTTTTAAGAATAAAACATTGTGTTTCTTCTTGAATATGTTTTTAATGTTTCAAATATGCTTTGAACAGTACTATAAAAAAAACATATTTAAAACATATTAAAAACATCAAGTAAGCATGTTTTAAACTGTTTAAACACGTTTAAAACATGTTTTTTACCAACCCTGGTCTATACTTACACAAAATTTATTATTATTTATCAGAAATGCTTGTTTAAATTACAACATTAATTTAATTATATTTAAAGGTTATAATTAAATTATGAAATTATATTTAAAAATTTGGTAATAATAATATAAGCAAATATATAAACTATATCACTAAATGTTTTTCTACTGCTAATTTTTTGTTCAATTTCAAATTGATTTCTTCTAAATAAAATTTTTTAAACATCTACAAGAGATTTCTAGTCGTTAATAAAAAAAAAACAGATGGCGGATTATGTCTTGTGATTGATTTTTTAAATAATTTTTAATGCTTGAATAGATTTAAATAAGCATTAAACATTTACAATTTTAATGTGATCTATGTATAAATTATTAAGATGTATGTTATATATAAAAACATCAATAAGGTTTTTTTTGTTTGTACATTCACGCTTGATATATTTGTTTTAAAAAAGATTACTTTTGATTTGACCAAAAAGAAGTTAGATTTTAAACATTTGATAACTTTGGAATACTTGTGGGATGTAAACTTGTTGGAAGTGTATGTGTAAAATTACTAATGTTTCTCTTGTTGCAGTGCTATATGGACTCTAGAACCAGCTCTTCTGACGATGATATCTGTATGTCTGTTAGTATTCGCTCTTGTTGATTATCTTGTGCCGATTTTGACTTCGGTATTATGCAACGCACAAAGTTGGACTGGACAGAAGGAGAAGAAATTAATTGAGATTTGTCAAAATCTCTCTTCCACTATATTGCAATTGCAAAGTGCATGGACGTCTATCTCGAAAATTCGACACGATCGTCCCAATATTGTAAGTAAATTATAAATGTATATCTATCAAAAATTAAAAGTTTATTATTTTTTTGCATGAAAGATAAATCAGATAAATATCTTTTTATAAGAGATTATTTTATTTTACTGGATATCTGCTATTTTATAGAATATTTATGGAATATTTTATATACAGGATTTTTGATATATATATATATATATATATATATATATATA